GGAATGGGGACCTCTAGCGGAGAAGGCGTTTCAAGACCTAAAGACCGCATTTATTATGGCTCCAATCTTGATACATCCAGACTTTATAAAGACCTTTTATTTAGAAACTGATGCTTCGGATTTTGCTTTGGGAGTTGTACTTTCACAAATGGGAGAAGACGAGAAGCTCCATCTGGTTGCATTCTATTCTCGAAAGTTCTCTGCTGCTGAAATCAATTATGAGATCCACGATAAGGAACTTCTTGCTATAGTGGATTCTTTCCAAGAATGGTGTCACTTTCTTGAAGGAGCTGCACACCCAGTGACCGTATATACAAATCACAAGAATTTGGAGTATTTCATATCGGCTCAAGTTCTAAATCGACGTCAAGCTCGATGGAGTATGTTGCTATCTAGGTTCGATTTTGTTATCACTTATCGACCTGGGAAGCAGCAAGGACTATCTGATGCCTTATCGAGGAGATCGTATCTTGTACCAAAGGCTGGAGAAGCAGCGTTTGATCAACAATGTACGACATTATTGAAGCTAGAGCAATTTCAGCTTTGCGCTACTATTGTGCCAATTGATGCTGACTTCTTGAATCAAGTACGTGCCATGACCATTGAAGATTCAGTAGCCATTGATATTAAGCAGCGTGCCAATGACGACAAGTTCAAGGTCGAGAGAGATCTTTTATACTTTGAGGAGCGGTTATATATCCCAAAAGAACTAGCACGACTCTAAGTTCTTCAATCTCGCCATGATTTTCCAACTGTGGAACATTTTGGATTCAATATGACCTTGGAGCTTATTTCTAGAGATTTTTGGTGGCCCCAAATGTGGAAGGATGTGAAAGATTTTGTCCTCTCCTGCAACATCTGTTCAAGATCCAAGAATCCTTGACATCGCCCTTATGGACTCCTACAGCCATTGCCGATTCCACGTCGACCATGGTCTTCAATTTCCATGGACTTCATCACGGACCTGCCATCATCGAACTCATTTGACAACATCTTTGTCATGGTAGATCGGCTTATAAAGATGGCACATTTTGTCCCTTGCAAGAAAGACATCGTCCAGTGAAGTCACAACAAGGCTCTTTCTCGATAATGTATATCAATATCATGGACTACCAGATGATATTGTATTAGATTGAGGAACCTAGTTCATATCAAAGTTGTGGAGATCTCTCTTTGAGATACTGAAGGTGGATATCAAGCTTTCTTTGGTTTTTCATCCTCAAACTGATGGCCAAACGGAACGGGTGAACCAAGTCTTGGAACAATACTTACGATGCAATATCAACTATCAGCAAGACGATTAGACCACATATCTGTCGCTAGCTGAGTTTGCATATAACAACACCCTCCATGCGTCGACTGAATACACACCATTCTTTTCCAACTATGGGTATCATTTGAAGCTTGATTTATTGAGTCCGTCAACAAATAATAATCCAGCAGCTGAAGGATTTGCGAAACAACTATCAGAGCTTCAAAATATGTTGAAGCTTCAATTACAATCTGCTCAAGAATCCTATAAGGCATCTGCAGATAGATTTTGGAATCAATCACCTACTTTCAAAATTAGAGATAAAGCATGGCTTCTTTGACTAAATATCAAGACCAAGCGACCATGTGATAAGTTGGACTATCAAAGATTGGGACCATTTATCATCCAGAAGCAAATCAATCCAGTGGCGTACCGTCTCGAATTACCGGCTTCTATGAAGGTACATCCAGTCTTTCATATTTCTCTGTTGGAGCCTTATCAAGAGTCGTCTTTTCCTAGAAGAGTGCAATGTCCGCCACCTAGTATTGAGATCGAGAACTATGAGGAATACGAGGTTGAAAAGGTGTTGGATTCACGGCGAAGGTGGGGCAAGTTGGAATATCTTGTTCATTGGTGCGGCAACAACATTAATGAGCGAACGTGGGAGCCAGCTGAAAATCTCGCCAATGCGCCACAAAAGGTACAGGAATTTCATCAACAACATCCTCATAAACCTAAGCCGGTTCGACGATAGCTTCTTTCTGAAGCTTGCTCATCCAAGAATATAAGAAAGGAAGAGAGCACCATCAAAATTCGTAGTTGATATAGTTATTTTCTCCAAGATAAAATAGAATTTTTTCCAGTAGCCATAGTTTGGTCTTCTGATATGGATAGCCAAGAGATAGATACTATGCCAGTCAGATTATCTCAACCGACTAGCTCTCGAAGGCGACCTCGAGATGAAGAACCGCCTACACCACGACGACGATGGAGGTTACCGAGTAACCGATCACTGGTGATTGTATTTGAGTCCGAGCGTACTTACGATGGTTAAGCAAAAGGCGTGTTTGCAAGACAATTTCACAATGAGGACACGGAAGTTCATGCTTGGTCAGAAGTTGAAGGAATGGGCCACTACCATTGGCTTCAAGGGCCGATGAACCACTTGCGTCGTGAACAACAGTTGGAGTTCATAGCAGACGTTATGCAACAGATCTTCATTTTCTTGCGTTGGTACTGATTAACAACAACATTGCTTCTCAGAGACCTCGAAGCTAAAGGAGGGGGTGATGTTAGGGACATAGTCCTTAGAACCTTCTAAAGACAAGTTTCTAAAACCTTCTAGAAGTAAGTCTCTGGAACCTTCTAGAAGCTTCTTAGTTAGTAGAAGATGTTAGGGACATAATCCTTAGAACCTTCTAGAGATAAGTTTCTAGAACCTTCTAGAAGCAAGTCTCTAGAACCTTCTAGAAGCTTCCTAGTTGGTAGAAGTTGCTTCAGAAGCTTCCTAAATAGGAGTATATATTGGAATCGAGCCTAAGAGTTCTTCAATCTCGACAACACATCTCTTGGAGCTCTAGCTCACTTCTCTGCTGTTGTTCTTGTATTCATCTGATTAATCTAGTTCTTGCTAGTTCTTCTTGAACTTCTTGTTAGATCTCGAGTCTATATTTTTGTATCCGTGACAGTAAGAATGAAGCCTTTTTCACTCTTGGCAATGTCTTTCTAGTCCTTAGTCTTGTCTCAAGACTTTCTAAATCTTCGTGTCTTTAGCAATAGACATTCTAGTTTAATACTATATCTTTGAGTGATTTTTTAGTCTTTTCAAGTGATACAAGAGTGTATTGGTATTTTAACTCTTTAAGATTCATGTCCTTGACACTTCACTCCTATCAACATCATTTTTTTTCTTACTCATGTTTCAAGAGTCTATAGTCTTCTTATCTTATGCAATAGCTATTCTAATTTTAATATTATACTATCTTTGAGTGAATGTCTATTCTTTTCTTGTCACAAAAGATTTTATTGACCTTCTAGTTTTTGATATTTCATATCTTTGATGATTACATAAGTAATGACTTTTGTTATGAAATATACAACATTATTAAAATGAAATAAAAAAAATATACTATTCTATTATTATTCTATATAAGTTTATATTTTAAAAAATAATATTATAGTTTTTGCACTCGCTTATAAAAGATAAATGAAGAAGGCTTTCACTTCTTAAGAGATCTAGTAATGAGTCTAAAATCATGTCGAATTGAGCATTACTATTAGATTTCATCAAAATCCAAGTTTAATTGTGTATTATTTCTAAATTCCATAAAAAGTTGAAATTTAATATTCTTATGATGTAAATTAATTTCAACCATGATTGGGCCAACAAAAAAATTGATGTAAAGAAATCAAAGTTGCATGGCATGATAGTATTGGCAAAAATATGAAGTCCACTTATATGGCTAAAAATAAATAAAAATGCTATAAGCAAATTGCCTCAAATCTTGAGCTATATCAACTATGTAGGTCATTTGAAGAAGTCCAACATAATATTATATTATAATCTCATTTACAATAATTTTATAATTATAATATAATATTTTATAAGAATATTACAATGCAATAATTGCAACAAAGGTGAAATTTTGTACTATAAGAAGTTGGAACTACATCATCAAACAAGACAACCACAATGTTAAAGATAATTGGTTAATTGATAAACTATGAAAGTTTAGATTGGTATAAGTAAAGTAGAAGCAAGAATAAGCATTGAAGTTTTACTAGTTTAGACCAAGAATTGAACCTTCTATATGTGCTAAGTGGTTGAAGAGGAGGTTTTATCTATCACTATAAGAATGAATTTTATTGTGTGTAGTGGCATATGTGCAAGTATAATAAAACAATTGATTGAGAGTCTCAGCAATTTTTATAACATGCACAAGAATAAACATGCAATAGATTCTTATAGTATTTATAGGTTAAGATTACATGTACTTAAAAATTTGAAACATGGTTTATAAGTCATTTATGCTAGACATCTTCTATGCTCAATATGTATTGGACTTTAGTTTTGTAATTATTGGAGGTTAAAATTAATATATTAATTCCATACAAAAATTATAGAATTAATTTATTAAAAATAATAATTATGAAATTTTAAATTTTATTTATATATATATATATATATATATATATATATATATATCATAATATATTCTTGTTACCATGCTTTATGTAAACTACTCATATAATAATCAACATAAAAATATATAGTTGATGAGTTGTAATTCATTTTTTCTTTAATTGTTATTTACGTATTTTAAATATATGTTTAGTTAAAACATTCAGATTTGAACTTTGGATCTCTATTTAATGCACTTAAGTAATCATCAAAATACCTAATCTGACCTTAAATATATGTTAATTGTTGGACTTTTCAAAACAATCATAAAATCCAAAATCCTTGTGAATAACTATAAAATTGCACATACAATCATAAAAAATTCATCTTCAGAATGTGGAAAGAGAACACATAATCAAGAGTGATCTGGATTACATTGTTTGTTTACATCGTATTTGCTGTTATTTTTTCAGAGTTGTGATGTTATTTGAATCACAACACGTCTCATACTGTATTAGTTTTATGGAGATGTGCTTCAATAAACACAATTGATTTTTTTTCCTATCTGAGAGCTTTCAAGTAGCTCAATCAATAAAAACATCATCATATTCAATTAGAGAAAACATCATAGCACTAATTGTGATATAATAATTGATTTTTATGTTCCCAGTTTTGTTTCCAGGGTTAAAAACCAACATATTTAGGCAAATATCATCAAATGTTGAGGGTGAGGATATTCCAAGCAGCACAATCTTTCTGAAGACAACGTCAGGTTTACAGCCTGCCCTGATGTCTTCTAAAAAAACTGCAACTATAAACCATTCCAATCGATTCAAGATATATAACCACATTCACTTCTCGATTATTTTTTGGAGTATTATGAAATAGTGGACTCTTCCACTGAAAAATTGTTTTCTGAGCGCCTTCAACTGTGTCCTGTTTTAATTGGTGGAGAAACCTTAAATATCCTCAGGTGCAGGATCCAAAGCATTTGTTTGTCCGTCTATTTGTTGCCGAACTGGCCTACGAAGCAAATGTGGGGGCGTTGCTGCTGGCTCTGTTCTAAAATACCTGCAATTAATTGCGTTCCAAGGGTTAGTACAAGAGAGAAGAAATAGAAACTGCGGGGAGCAGGGTGTTAACATTATGACCAGAAGAATAATGCAAAGCATAATGCAGAAGAAGCAATTGCCTGTGCTCTAGAGCTTGCTGTGCGGAGATTCTTTGCCTAGGGTCGTATGTAAACATCCGTTGAAGAAGGTCTAGGCAGTCTTCACTGGCCTGCGGAAAAAGAGTGCGAAAGGGCTGGGGTGGAGAATAGGAGTATTCCACATAATTAGGTAAAGAAGTCATGTCTGGCCATTGTGATTCACGTGGAGTTCCAAAGGTTGCAAAGATTTTTCCGAGTTGATCAATATCACTTGTACCCTGTTCAAAATATTGAAGAATAAAAAACAAGCATTCCAAATCGAACCGTGATTCAGATCGATATACTCCCTGATGTCAAATAGCCTAGGAACTGAGTAACAAGAACTTAAGACCCATTGGCCACAAGCTGAAAAGGTCAAACCAAAAATGGTATTGCTCCAAGCCCATAAACAAATCCTATGTAACAGGTGTTACCTAAAAGGTGGCTTGTGCTTCTTGTTCAAGATACCTGAAAGAGAGGACGTCGAAGAATGAGTTCTGCAAAAATACAAGCAACTGCCCAGACGTCGACACCTGGTCCGTACATTTTGGAGCCAAAGAGGAGCTCAGGAGCGCGATACCACCGAGCAAACACCTGGTTCGCATTATATAAGGATGTCACCATTGCAATTAAATAAGCTCGTAACAATGAATACGTACAATGCCCCATTATTAGCAGTTGTGCTCTCTGAATTGATGTGAAACCTTCCTCTCTTAACAGAAAGGTCTGAAGTAGTCGGCAACAAGTACAGGAATCCTTTCTTTACCTCATGAGTGAATCTCCGGTCTGGACTTCCAAAGATCCGAGCTAAACCAAAATCGGCAATCTTCAACTGTCCGTCTGAACCAAGCAATAAATTATTTGGCTTCATATCCCTGTTTCAAACACCAGAAAATAAACAAAAAAAGAAAGTAATCATTGTTGGCCACGCAATGGCCAAGGTTTGTGCGCCAAAGATACGAGGTCAAGGGTACACCAAGCACAACTTGAAGCCTATGCATACACAGACCTGTGGAGAATCCATTTCTTATGACAAAAAGCCAGTCCCTTCAGGGTCATGTAAATGTAGGATTTGTAGTCCGCGGGAGAAAGAAAAGTGTTGCGATCGTAGATTACTGCTTCCAAGTCACTCTCCATGTACTCGAACACAAGATATAAATTTCGTTTGTGTTGGTACACATCCACGAGCTCGATCACATTTGGATCATACAACTCCTTCAACAATTTGATCTCCCTCAAAGCTGTCACGTTTACTCCCTCCTTGTATTTACCCGTTCTAATCATCTTAACAGCTACAGTCCTGTTCGTCTGCAAAAAGAAGAAACATAAGCCAATGGCAAAATATGAAGCTTCGAGGAGGAAGTGCCGAAGGCGAGGCACGAGGTAAATGTGTTGAAGGAAAAATTCCATCGACGCAATATTTCACCCTGCCAATTCCCCATAGTCTTTTCTCACGGTGACATAAAATCAATGCAATGTTACAATGGTGCAGCATGTGCTACAGGCAGGGGATAGTATGACAGTACACACTACAATCTTTCCAGCAAATCTCAATTGCGAAATTCGCACAAAAGAGTGATCGGTCACCAACTTAGCCAAACGATTGGATTGCACTCATTTTCATTCCAATTCATCAACCCTTCAACGGCCATCGCTTCAAAATGCAGCATCACGCAACCATCCAAATTAGGTCGAAGATAAGAGGGACGAGAGAGCAGGGGAGTAAAGTAAAAATAAAAACAAAAAGGGAAACCCAAGTACCAATTTATCGATTGCCTTGAAGACGATACCGAAAGTACCCGAACCGATGGTCACCCCCTTGTCATAGCGATTCACACCGGTCACGTCCCCCATGGCCATCTCCACAGCCGGCGCCAACCCACAAAACTTCCCAACTTACGTCCAAATCCCTAATCTAAACCCCACTTCACTGACCATCTCCACTGACCCACGACCTCATCAAGCTTAGAAAAGTTTCCCCACTCCTCTCCGCAGCGAGGACTGTCGAATCCAGACTGGAATTGAGGGGGGCACACTGTTCTCGAGCCACAGAACTCGATGCCCGCAACGCAGAAACAATTTAACAGAAACAACTCCCTCTTGAGGGAGGAGAGACGACCGACGCCGTTTCTCATCCTTTATTCATCCTAGATTCGTCCTGCATTCGTTCATACTTCCATTCCCATTCTCATTGCATGAACTAATGTTGTTACTATTCATTCACGATTCGTCAGATTTTGAGTCAGGAGTCCGTGCTTATGTGTTGATATTGGAATTGTTTGATTAAGTGATTTTTTATACAATTATAAATTTCATTAATTTTTAAGTTTTATTTATATTTTTAAATATATATACTTCTACTGTATGTAGTTTGAAGATATATGTGTTTTTTTATCTTTTTTGAGGAAATTAGTAATATTTATATTGTTTCTATTATGTTTATTATGTTTTACTTTTGGTAACATTAATTTAATTTTTTTACAAATACTTCCTTTACTCAAACTTACACTACTAATACTTACATTACAAATCGTGTTTAAACTTCCATTATTGTAGTTGCTAGAATTCTTTGTTAACTGCATCTCAAAATGTTTAGAGAATAAGCTGAAATTAAATTCAAAAGACGAGTATGACTGGCATACAACTTGTACGAGCTTGAATATGGTTCAATATATCTTCTTATCTTTTTTTTGTACATTTGAGAGAAGAAATAAGTTTATTTCAGAAAATTATATGATTTTCTCTTAAATCATATATTTCATAAAATATTAAGTTCAATATAAACAAAGTTTGTTGAATCAAAATGAGTAATTTATAGATGGGTTGTTTGTGTATGAAAGGATAAATATAGTTTTATATTTTAAGAGTTGTTTCAATTTTAAATATTTTTTTTCTATTTTTTGCATTTCTATTTGATGAATTTGTTATGCTTCCAGAAAATAGTTATAAATCACAAGCGTTTTATGGTCTTTTGCAAAGCACAAAATAAACATGTGCTTGTTTACAATCAATGAATTTTTAATATAATTTTAAGCAACCAAAATAATAGGTAAAATAACTAAGCATTAATTTATTTGTAATATGTATAGAATACCATTTACTCAAACAATATAGATATATATATATATATCTAAATATATATATATATATAATAAATAAAAACGTTTATTTTTAAGATCCCAATCGATTAAAAATATTTTTTTCAATAAAAATACATAATCAGATTTTCAATTATTTTAAAAACATTACTAAAAAATTTACATATTTAAATCAATTGTTTTTTCTAATTTCATTATTTATAAAAAAAATTAAATTAAAATATATTTTTATTTTTTTAACTTCTAATTTATTGATTATTCTAAAATACTTTTTAACCAAAAAAATCTTAATAAAAATCGATGAAAATTATGGCGATTGTAAAAAGATTACAACACAATATAATATTTCAAAAATAACAAAATTAGAACATCAAAAATGAATGGAGTGAACTTTAAAACTTGAATTAGAACCATATTTATCTAAATTTAGGAACTATAAAATATTTTTTATTTTGTTATTTTAATATGTTAAATAAATTATATAATCGAATCATATTTAATAGAACAATTATCATTACAACTGTTGATTCTAAAATGTATTATCTAAAAACAGGTTTGTACTTATTTTATAAAAGAATAGTAAATTTAGAGGTTGTAATTCTTTTAAAGAACTTTGTTTTTGTCATTGTAGTTTAGAATGGCAAAAGTAATAACAACAATATATTTAATACAATTTCACATATTTGTGAAATAAAAAATGCTTCTTTCTGCATGTTAACATTTGTTTTGTCTAATTTTGGATAAGATTGATGTTCAATGTAAGAAAAATGTGTATTATGTACTTGTTTATTTATTTTATTGTATCTGAATATAAAAACAATGTAATTTTATTAATTTCAAATATTAGTACTTAAATCATGTATAGATTATATAAGAAACTATTAATATTTTAAAATTTTACACAAATTTATTTATAGATAGTAAAAATCTATAAATAATTAATTATATTGTTCATTATAATTGCAAAAATATTTTGATTTTCTCGTAATGTGAATAAACGGACATGGTTAGAGAATAAAACTTTATACACTTGAGTCAAATCTACAATCTTACTTGCTGAAATTTACTATGTAAATCCATCTTATAACATTATTGACAAAGAAGTAGAAATCAAAAACATATGTTATCAATAATCAATTGACTAAATTTAACACACACACACACACACACACATATATATATATATATATATATATACCCTTAAATTATAACTATTTAGATGTAATCTTTATCCACCAGAATATGCATGCAATGAGTGTATTAGAAATTTTAATGAGAACATATAAAATACATGGCTTATTTTATAAATAGGTTTTAAGAATATTTAAAAAATAATTAACATCTAATTCATATTTAGTTTGATATTGTTTTTTATTGAAATAATCTTTTGTATCAATCCAAATTGTATATATTTGATAATAAAATAATATTCATAAAATATTACAAATATATCATACGTTCCCTATAATTTTTTAAAAATATAAAAATATATTTTTAAAATTATATACATATATATATAGTAACTGCATGCATGATTTGTTTGTCTGAAAAAGGTATTATCATATGTGGTAATTTTAATTTTATATATTTATATTTATATTTATATATATGACTATGTTTTGATTTATTAATTGAAAATGGGTTGGGTTGGCTATGTTGATGCTGTTGATTTATCAGAAATGATTGTTAAATAGTAGTAAGTTGATCCAATATAAATACAAAAGGTCTTATAATTTAGACTTATGAATGGTCACCAAATATTATAGAGGAGTGGAACCAAATTAAATGTCAAAAGAAAAAGAGAGCGTGCATAGGATGATAATAATATAAAAACGAACACGTATATATATATATATATATATGTATATTTTATGTGTGTTTATTCATTAAAATTTGAAATAATATATCTACATTAAAACAGAAAAATAAGTAGAAAAAAATATATGCTCGAAACATAATCAAAATATTTTCAAAAAATCGGTAAGAATTTAAATCTCATTTTAAATAATAGTTTTCGGTTAATAAAGATGACTAGTATTGAGGTAATTTGTTATAAATTATCAAATCTGTGATTTAAAGTTTAATAATGGCACAACAATCGGTCAAAGCAAGCAATGTGAGCTAGGACAAAATTGACTTGGCAAATATGTTCTCCAACGTTCCCGAGCAGGATCCCAAAGACACACACACCCCTCACGACAACGAGGCACCCTGGGGATTGAAGGATGGGGTCGGAAACAGCGCAGTGGAGGATAAAAGGATGAGGGGTCGACTACATCCATTCTCATGCAAACACATCCACGATTATCATCCAAGGCATATTCCTGGGAGAACCAGTGGGGTTATGTGGAGCCCAATGGGATACAGAGGGCCTTTGAGTCCCGAGGGGATTGCGCGTGTCCGCATTAGGGTTTGTCGATGGTGCAGGGGTTTGGGGGTGGCCGTCGCAGCTTGTGTTACTGCGCGGTGTTCAGGGGCGGAGGCACATTTCTTTGTGGGAGCACTGCGTCGAAGGAGAGATCGACCAATACGTGGCTTGGCACTGTCGGAGGTTGCGGAGTTTTAGTTCGTCGTACGGTTCACAGTGGTTGCTGCATTAGGGTATGCGTTAGGGTATGTATTAGGTTTTGAGGGGCTTGCGTATTGCGTTGCGTGGCTTTCGGTGTTCCCACGCGTATCCTGATTGTTGAGATACCTCACTTCCCCCTTAGTCTTCAGTGTGGGATAGCCTCAAACCATTGATTTAGTGCCCCCCTGTAACCGTTTTAGTTTATTTCTCCTCTAGGTGTCCTGTCGGGCTGTAGTGTCAAGCCCCCGTGGTTTGAGGAGCATTAGCGTTGTGTGGAAGGTTATTACATGCCTGCACGACTGATTCGTTTCCTGTGCCGGAGAGAGGGTCCAGTCTGACTTGAATGGAAGTCGCGAAGTGCCATTTGGTGGAGAGCACTTGAGCCGCTCGAGTTTTTGTTGTATTCTTCAACGCCTGGTGCATGTGTATTTGAGAAGCGGCGCTGTACGAGTCGCGGTGGATTATTTGCGGACAATCTGAACGATGAGATGTAATATTCTTAAAACTTGATTGAGAAATGGCAATCTCACTTGTCATCCTTGCCTTGCCGGCAGATTGTTGAACTGCAATTTAGCAGCCTCTTTCTGTATCCTCTACGACAAAAGGTCTCGAGAGTGACTTGTGTACTTTGTTGTGCTCACTTTGGTTTGTTCGTGGCAATGCCCTCGATATTGTTGTAGGATATTTTAGTCCATGTTCAGAATGTTGCTGCGACAAGGCCTAGTGTAGTTCTGAGAACGAGAGTGCTTGAGTGAAGCGTTTGTTTTATCGTGTAAACTTCCATGGCTGTGGTGGGACTTTTTTTTCTCATGAGAATTTTATGCTATAACTCCGTGGTGGTGGTTGCGATCCTTTCTGCTCTACGTTGGTGGGGTTTAAGAGCGCGTGTTAGTTGCAGGGAATTTCGCTATGCTGTCAAGTTGGCTGTTGTGAGATGTTGGTCTTTTCATGGATGCTTTTTTGCAGACATAACAGTATTGTGTTGTTTGGTTGAATGTGCAGCGGATGTAGTAGGATCCAGTTGATTGACAATTAACATACTCAACCTCGCGCGCATATTCTAAGAGGGTTACAATCAGTGAAGATGCCGGGTCTAGAGGACCGGCTGTATCTCACTTATTTTCCTGCTGATATTCCAGAGGTTTTACCTGAATACGTTGCTTCGAATAGCAAATGCTTTCCTCGGTTGGGCCTGGAACCTGCAGGGATATGCTTCCATGAGGCAGCAAAGCGTGCTCGTGGTGTGACTAGGGACCCTGTGGAGGCTGAGGCGGTGCCCGAGAAGAAGGAGAAGGGTGGGGAGTCTCCCTCCGTAGATTCTTATCAATTCAAGGGTAAGAAGAAGTCTGGTGACGGGGCAGAGACTCAGGACCATTATGCCCTAATAGGTTTGAGCCACCTGAGATTTCTAGCCACAGAAGACCAGATTAGGAAGAGCTACAGAGAGACTGCTTTGAAATATCACCCCGACAAACAAGCTGCTCTGCTGTTGGCGGAAGGCACAGAGGAGAAGAAAGAGATCAAAAAGGAGGAGATCGATCGGCACTTCAAGGCGATACAATTTGCATACGAGGTCCTTATAGACCCCGTGAAGCGACGAGCCTACGATTCTATTGACGAGTTTGATGACGAAATTCCTAGTGATTGTGCTCCTGGAGAGTTTTTCAAGGTATTCGGACCCGTGTTTGCTCGGAATGGTCGGTGGTCTACGGTCCAGCCGATTCCCTCCCTAGGCGACAATGACACTGATATTGGCACCGTAGATAGTTTCTACGATTTCTGGTGGAGCTTCAAGAGTTGGAGAGAGTTCCCTCATGCCGATGAATTCGATTTGGAGCAAGCAGAGAGTCGCGAGCACAAGAGGTGGATGGAGAGGCAGAACGCCAAGTTCCGAGAGAAGGCGAAGAAAGAGGAATATGCTCGCATTAGGTTGATGACCGAGAATGCATATAAGAAGGACCCCCGGATTGCACGGAGGAAGGAGGAGGAGAAGGCCGAGAAACTGCGAAAGAAACAGGCGAAGTTTCAGGCGAAGCGTGAGAAGGAAGAGGAGGCAGCTCGAGCCCTAGAGGAAGAGAGGCTGCGGAAAGAGGAGGAAGATAGAAAAGCTGCGGAGGAAGCTTCAGCTCAGAAGAAGTTGAAGGAGAAGGAGAAGAAGCTTTTAAGAAAGGAGAAAGCTAGGTTACGGGCCGTGGCAGCAGCCGTGGTAGCGAAGAAGGAGAGCGGGGTTTCCGAAGACGACGTGGAGAACTTTTGCACTTCGTTGGAGATTTCTCTTTTGAGAGGGCTGTGCGAAAAGTTGGAGGGCATGAAAGAGGTGAACGAACAGACTGAATACTTAAGAAATGTGATGAGCGGAGCAGAGGTCATCGTTTCGTCGGATTCAGCTGCCGCTGGGACTCCCATTCGACTGAATTCGAGCCCAGTTATTTCCGTTGTGGATGCAGCTACACCAACTGTGAACGATAAGATTGCCTCGGATGTAGTTGCAGAGAAGGGCAAGCAAACTACCAGACCTGTTGTTGAAGAAAGACCCTGGTCGAAGCAAGAAGTAGACCTGTTGAGGAAAGCTGTACAGAAGTTTCCGAAGGGAACTTCGCAGCGCTGGGAAGTTGTTTCAAATTACATCGGCACAAATCGATCTGTGGAAGAAATTCTGAGAGGCGTGAAGACCGTACTTTTACAGAAGCCAGACTCTTCAAAAGTTTTCGACTCGTTCTTGCAGAAAAGGAAGGTAAAAAATGTGGTGATAGATTCACCTCTTTCGACGAGGGAGGACGGAGTTAGCGGTGAGTTGAGTAGTACGAAGGTAGTTGACAACGGTACAGTTAACACAGAGAAAAAACAGGAAAGCGGTGCTAAGCAGACAATGTCAGCAGGTCAGTCCGCGATCGAGAAGAGTAGTCAGAACGGAGGACAGCCGAAAGGAGATTCTCTGAAGCCTGCTCAAAGCAACGGAGCAGTTGCAAATGGAGCCGCTACGGAAGGAGAGGGATGGTCGGAGGGTCAAGAAGTGGCACTGGTGAAGGCCATTAAGGCATTTCCAAAGGATACCGCCAACAGATGGGACAGAATCGCAACCGCCGTTCCCGGAAAGAGCAAGGCCCAGTGCTTCAAGAAATTTGCGGAGTTGAGGGACAGCTTCAGGAGCACTAAGAAGGCGGATTGATGATGCACGCTGATAGTAATATGGTGCGCTGCACCCCCATGAGCTATAGAGGGCTTCTCGTAGAGTGATTTTTTCGAACATTTGAAAGGATCCGTAGCGGCCACATCAATGAAGACGAATAGACCAGGTTGGTGATGGCTCGCTGTGCAATCATTTTTTTTTATAGATTTTTAGCTTAGATTATACGATGGAAACGGTCATACTCTTGAAAGGAAGAGGATATACTCGCCTCTAGTAGTAATGGGTGGGTAAACTAAATGTAGTGGATGTTGTGAACCGGAGCAGTGGATTGAAATATGATGATTTTGTTAGGTGGCAGATTAACTTCCATTTGATCCGGATCGAATTGCCGAGAGCTTACTGAAGTAGTGGTCATGAGATATATTCTATCCACATAATACGACATCAGACCCTAGCCTAGGTGAAATGGGCAGGTTGATTTATGTTATGAGATTCGATGTCAGACTGACTTTTATGTGCATCATAACATTTAAGTGCATCATTGTCGAGATCATACCTGGTTTATTGGTGAACTTAAAAGAACAGGGACTTAGTGTAGCATTACAGCGTTCAGCTTTGAGGGCATGGGTATTCCGGAGGAGGTCGATTAGGGATTTTGAGATTCGAGAATGGATATGCTAGCGAAGAGAACTGATAGGCCTATGTACAGTGGTTCGTGAATTAGTTACCTTTTATACTTGCTGGTGGGTTGTGCATTTAATTACAATTTTGGTAGGATTCGTTCTAAGCGTTGGCTGTCTACTTTGCTCTACGATGCTGTTGGATTTTTTTTTTTGTTCGATGCAAGGCCTGTAGCAAACTGGTGTTTTATTTATTTGTGTGCTGTTACTTCGCCTCCGTGGTGGGTGTGTGTGCAGCATCCTGTGTTGGAATACAATGCAGTTATCTACCAAGCAGAACTGTAGATGTCCTCATGGATATATCTTTGTTCTGTAAGCTCCAAAGCATGAGTGATTTAATTCAATCGCGTGTACACGATAAATCCTAACCTCGTTGTATCATGAGCCTAGTTTTGGCTCCTCATTCCATCTTATGACCTTGATTTCATTATCTGACTTCTCTTGCTATACTACATAAATCACAAAACTGACAGAACATTTGAGCGTCTTTTGTACAGTTCACTTTGTGGGTACGTACAGGCATTTTCAGAGGATAAATGGACTGGCGAATGAAAAAAACCAATTCGAACGGTTCGAAAAACATTCGAGTCAACCTGAGGTCCACAGTTAATGCACTGTCCCCTAAGTAGTTACATTAAATGAAATGAAAATGTAACTATATGCTAATAAGAAACAAAGACTGTAGTTTTCTTTGATTAATTTGGTTGAAAAATTAGATCATAGTTCTGGACTGATCATAAGGCATTATCAATGAGTATCACGTGATGCTTCTTGAATATAAATTACATAAACATGGACAAGGTAATAGCATGATCTTTGAAATTTCAAAGTCAATAACATCTTTCTTGCTTGTTTGTAAGTTGTGATGGTTGTTTACAATAAAATAAAAATAAATGAAAATTTACCAGATTAGTACAAGTCTGATTTGAAAATACTATTTGTACATCAGAATATTATTACATCATTTATGAGCCAAAATCTGGAGATAATCAGTGACTTATCAAGAAAACTGATTTGATAATATATTAATTAGAATCTAAAGTGATAATATTCAATAGAAAATCAGCTAAGAAAAGTATGCCAAATGTAATAAGGAGTATGGTTTGGAGTTAGATTATAATAAAAAACTATTTATTAATAGTAATATTGATTTTTAAAAACTATAAAATTAATTAAAAAAACTAAAGAATTAAATAATTTAATTGAATATAAATCAAAATTTTTAAAATAAAATAATAAATAGTTAACTTAGTACAAAGAAACATATATAGTAAATTGGTACTTGTACAAAATTACTACTTATAAAAAAACATAACATAATTTGCATATGCTATAACAAATAGCCATATTTATTAGTATGTTTACTTTGATAAGTAGAATTATGTAGAAGTAAGTAGAAGTAGGTTAAATTGTTGATATCTTACTGTAAAGCATCCTAAAAGCTTTGTATACTTTACACATGTTTACAAGTGATTGGTAGGTTGACAATTTGGCCAATAAGTTGGCCACATGTTGCACATTTAGCCACTTCTATTACAAGTTGCCTATGTGACGCATATATTAGAAACTTGCTCTATAAATTAGTATGTGTCTTGTAAGTTAGACACATATTATATGGCCTACAAAACATTGCCACATAGTTTTATAGTAAATAATATATATGGAGGCAAGAGTAAAGTCTACTTTTTTCTTATCAATGCATATCTTATACTTTGTCTTAGTTCAAGACTTTATAGTCCTTCTAAATTTGGCAATAGTCATTATTGTTTTATTATATATGATTTTTATACTAGGAGTAGAGTAGTTACTAATATAGTTTAAAAACATAAGATAGTCTTGTAAAATAGATTAAATCAAATAGGAGTAGAAGAATTAATCTACAAAGGAGAAATAAATAAATAAGAAAAGTAAGAATCTTATAAAAACAATAAGGACCATAAGAAGCTCAAAGGAGAAATTGGTCCAAATTAGAGAACCATCTTGAACCAATCTAGTACTAGGATATTGAATTAAGTCCCAAGATGGTAAAACAATAAAAGATTGATTTATGACATGTGACTTCTATTGATCACAAGGTCCTATTGGAAGTGATAAGAAATTAAATCAAGGACATGCAACCATCTTGAGGAATAATTGAATTTAAATACTCAAATTGAATAAGACAATAAATATGGAGGAAATATAACTCATGTCCCATTTATCTTTTCAATTTTTTAGGAATAGTCATCCAATGGTATAACTTGCTGTACTAACCTTGCTTAAGTTAAAAACAAGAAAAAGTAGAAGTTCTTTTGAAGATATAATATATTAAGATAGTTAATTGTAGAAATTTATTATAGAAGTTTATTGTCAGAAGATTAGAATATAGTTGATAGAATGTAGTAGAGCAGGTGATGAATATGAGAGGAATAATAAAAAAAAAAGGTAATAAAATCAACAATCTAAGTAAAACTAAAGAAGCTAAAATTAATCAATACAAATGACTATGTTAAGAAGATAGACATGCAATAATGTTTGACCACATTGGGATGTAGATAATTTTACTAAACATTGTTGTAGTTTCAAGGCAAAGGTATGGTAGGTGAATTGATCTTGAGAGAACTATCTTTTAGGATATAAAACATCATTTGAAATAATTTCAATAAATAAAATCTTTCTTTAGTGATGCATGTATATTAGTTGAAAAACAAGGAGAATAATTAGATACTAAGAAGTAAAAATATGAAAACAAAAATAACCATAATTTTTTTCTTTAAAGTATATAAATAAATAAATAAATTAATAGAATACATGAGGTGAAATATTGGAGGTTGTTTAAGTTTTTAATTCCTATCTTTTATTTTGGCCTTTGAAACAAATTAATAAGTTGTTGACAATGGTCTTAATATGAAATATCATTAAGACATGTGCCTTGAATTGGGCCAAATTACTTCTTCACTTGATACTACAAGCAACAACTAATATGGATAAGAGTCACATATTCTCTATTTCAACTTACTTCTATCATTAGTGGGAAGTTATGAGATTGCTTATTTTTTATAAAAATAAAGAATAAATATAAAAAGAGATAGCATAGCAACTCTAAGAAACCAATTCACATGATAACAAAGACAAAGACATCCAAACTAAAGACGAAAAAATTTCTAAGATAAAACCAATGCTAAAGGTGTTACAAGTGATGTTGATATAGAGTTGAATATTAAGGTTCAATTCTAATTTTTTACACTTTTGGCAGCAAGGTAGAATATTTTTTTGCTTGTTTGAGAAATAGTAAAACTTGTTGTATTGATTTCTCTCTTGTAATATCCTTTTCATTTAATTGAATGTCCTTGTCTTTATTCTCTTGTAGATTGGTCTTCCGAAGTTAAACCATCTTTATTTGTACCTATTCTTTTTCTTCCACCTAAGTGTGTAAATCCTTGACTTAATACAAGTGATAAAGATAAGACAAGATGGACAATATTTGGTTCTTATATATATATATATATATATATATATATTTGTTGTAATTTGTAAAATCAAACCAAAAAGTAATTTTTGTCAAATTAGAACTTCTACTTTGGTAATGGTTTTTGTCAAGATTGTTGCCCAAGCCTTGTTAATTCACTTTGGATAGTCAAGATAGGAGATAGGAATTTGGAACTTAAACACCTTATCAATATTATACTTCTTAAATCTTATTTATTTTGTATTGTCTCTTAAATTCATATGCACTAAAGAAAAAACTATTGCCAACTGTGGCATCATTTTCTTATTTTTTGGTCTCATATTTCTTCTTTTATTTTTCAGATTGTATACTTATATTATCAAGAAAAGATTCTATAAATTGGGATTATCAAAGTTTGTATTTTCCATCTAAAAAGGCACTTCTCCAAAGATCAATTAATTGACCATACTTTTGTTTTAAAACCACCACAACATATAGTAGAAATAATTGCATCCAACATGGTCATGTCTTCTTACAATTTTTTCTTCCTGGTATTATCATCTGGATTAGCAGGATTAATTTTTTGTAACATGATTTAAATTAATATTTTTATCATCTTTCTTATCAATTCTATCATCTCTATTTTCTTCAATTGCTTTATTAGCTTTTAACTACTCAATTATATTCTATACTTTAATCTAACTACACTAAGTCTCTATAATATGTTTTCTTGATGAATTGTGCCTTTTAATGGACTCTCTTTCTATTTTATCTCTAACTCAAGCAAGGTTTGTACAATGAGCCATCTCATTTTTTATTATCACAAAATGTGTGTGGAAATGGATAGAAATTGAATTATATCTCTTTTAGCTATCTTTCTAATCAAATTAGATTTTAATTCAGTCCCTCCATAATATAGTTACACATCTTTAATATGATTACATGTCACCTCTAATGTCGCTTTTTGATTAATGTAGGCCACCTTTTGCAACTTGGTGCTTCATAGTTTCTTTGTGTTAGAATTTGGATTAATACCTTAGTACTTACTTACTTGAAAATAATTCTTCAATATGGATTTAATTTTCATTTTCATTTTGACTTCTTGTGCTTCTTAGTGCTTTGATGGAATTTTTACTTTCCATAATTTCTTATTTCTTCTATCCAATTTAATTATCCTAATTTGACCTAATCTAATCTATTTTACTATATTTTTTTATGCTTTTAAGTTCTATTAGTGACTATCTTATTCATAATCTAAAAATCACATTCTTACAAGATTTTAAAGTATTTCATATGAATATCTTTTAAATTATTATCATGTCTTATGAAGCATGTCCTTGTTGTAATTTATATTTAATATTATATATAATGTTGGAAAAAAAACAAGGCTTATTAGATGCTTCTTCATTGTCACACTTGACATTTGTATTTTGCATGAAGAGTTGCTAGCCATGTGGTGGCTGAGTCTAGAAAGAGGAGAAGGTTTGCTTGCAATCTTTGCACAATTTTAAGGACCATTTCCATAGTTCATGAAATTGACAAGGCATGCGCCAATGATCAAGGATCCTTGTTTTTCTTGTTGGTCTTTCTACAAGTAATTAAGATTGTTCAATTATGATTTAGATCTAC